AGAACATGTGGGCTCGAATGATCAGTGGGTAGATTTGTTTACAAAAGCTCTAAGCTCAGGGAAAGTGAACTACCTATATAACAAGCTGGGATTACATGACATATATTCTCCAGCTTGAGGGGGAGTGTTAAAGTTAGCTGAATAGGGGTAGTTTAGTAATCTTATATGTGTTAAGTAGTTTGCTTATGTGGCAGTTTTATTAGAGTACCCTGCCCCACACTTAAGTATGGGCAATTTAGTCTTTGTAAAGGTTATTAGAATCTAATAAAGATTAAGGGGGTCGACTATATGGGAATTCCGTCAGATTTCGACAGACCCTTATTTTCTTTCATCTTCTTCTCTTCTTCTTCCTCTTCTTCTTCCTCTTCCTGGTTCGAGTTACTGTAGCAACATTCGAAACACCCACAAATATCATTACAGACCGGAATCTGACCTTTCTCAGCAATTTTTGGAAAGAATATTTTTGGCTACAGGGTACTTCACAGATCAACTAGCCACCATCCACAGACCGAAGGATAGACGGAGGTACTTAATCCTTGCGTCGAGACCTACCTACGATGCTTTGTCAGAGAAAATCCAAAGACATGGGCTTAGTGGCTGCCATGGGCAGAATTTTGGTATAACTCCACGTTCCATAGTGCAGCATGCATGACTCCTTTTAAAGCCCTATATGGGTGTGACCCACCATCAATATTACCTTATGAACCTGGCATGACAGTAGTGGTGGCGGTAGATCAACAACTGTTTGAAAGAGATAATGTTATCAAAAATCTCAAAGCCAACCTCATGTGAGCACAATCATGGATGAAGGCCACTTATGATAAAAAACATAGAGGTGGAATTCCAAGTGGGGAAATGTGTCTATCTCTAATTGCACCCATATAGACAAACCTCTCTGGCCCGAAAGGGGTGGCACAAACTATCTCCTAAGTTTTGTGGGCTGTTTGTGATTACCGAGCGAGTTAGGCCAGTAGCATACAGACTGGATCTCCCAGCCTCCTCGCAGATACACCCAATTTTCCATGTCTCTCTCCTTAAACAATGCGTGGAAGATAATATATCAAGCTTAGCAGTTGTCGGAATTTGATGACACCGACATATTACAACTACAGCCTCGAAACATCCTGGACTATTGTTGGATCAAGGTGGGGAAGCAAATCCAACAACGTGCCTTAGTAGAATGGAGAGGACTACCAGTTCATGATGCCACTTGGGAATCTTGTCAAGTCCTCAAATAGAGGTATCCCCAACTGCACCTCAAGGACAATGTGCTTGGGAATCTTGTCAAGTCCTCAAATAGAGGTATCCCCAACTGCACCTCAAGGACGAGGTGGCTTCCAACGAAGGAGGAATTGTTAGGAGCCCAGAACCAGCAGCCAAGCCAATAACACAACAAGTGTATTCTAGAAGGAAAAAGAAGGGAGCCACGTTAGCAAATTCAATTGCAACAGAAATGTAACCACCAAGTCTTGATCTTGATCTTAATCTTGATGTAATACCCTGTACAGTATAAAAGGTCAAGAGGAAATAAGAAGGGAAGGCAATCATTCAAACAATCTCTCTCTCTCTCTCTCTCTTGTCTTTCTCATGCGGTAGTACCCCCTCGAAGTGGTGCCTAACAATGAATGTTAGCGACAGCTAGATGGTTAAGGTGTTTCTTTTTAGCATAAATGATTAGGTTTCAAGTCTTGTTACTTCTATTAAAAATATATATACATATTTAATTAGTGGCCTAATATATTCCTTAGCTAAGCGAGGGGCTTTTAGGGAATCTATCTTTTGGTCTCAATTGTAAGTTGATTTGTACATGAGGCTGCATCTCATGCCTCCTTTTGGGATGTCTATTTGTGCACTTTTTGTTTTTTTTTTTTTTTGAAAAAGAAAACCAGAGGTTTTTTTGGTTAATTCTTAATAAAATTTTCATTGCCTATAAAAAACAAAAAATACATAAATGAACACAAAATGAAAGATGGCTTGATGGCTTGATGTCAAAACTTACAATTATGAGGTAAAAAAAAATGGAGCTTTAAAAAACCAGATTGCTTTCTGGGTCCTGAGTTGAATGGTCCAGTTGGATTATCTTCTGGTTCCCAGGTTGAATAGTCCAGTCGTCTAGTTTGGTCCAAGTATTAAAACATTGCTTCTTATACAAAACACTTTTAAGAGATAAGGAATTATAATTAAAATTACAAAGTCGAACTTTTGTACACGAATTAAGAATTTAGGACTTTAGCATGGATTTGTTTGGGCTTGCCTCAAGGGGTTCGGTATAAAGCAGTTTGTAGAATTAGGATAATGTGATGGGAAAGAACAAAAGATATTAAAAGTTACACGTGCTTGAACTGTTGAGTGCATTAAATGATTTATGTTATATTTAATTTAATTTTTACATTTTCACTTTGAATATGCATTATATATTATGTTTATATATTTAAATTTGAGCTAATAGGCCTTTTAAAATACATGTAATTTTTTAAATAATACTATTTTAATTTTTTTTGAATATATATATATATATATATATTTGCAACTTTTGATTCTTTTTTAGAATTTTGTGCCTTGCCTTATGCCTTGGGCACAAAAAGCCTCTTGTGCTTTTTTAATGTCTTTCAATGGACTTAGAGTGTTACTGTTTGATGGGTGAGAATATCAGCAAATAATTTGGAAGGTACTTTAGCCAAACAAAGGGTTAACAGGGGTGAACTCTTTTGGGCTGAATTGTAAGAATCAAGTCTATTGAGCATCAGTATCAGTTTCCATTTTCTTGGGAACTGGGCAGTGGACTTATTCTTTATAAATTGATCAATGAAAGTTACTGTTTCCTATTGGAAAAAATATTGCAATCAAAGTGGTACATTGGGTGAAGACTTTGGAGTGGATAGTATTCTCAGACTTCACAGTGGATAGTATTCTCAGAAATTGGAAGCAAGTAGCAAGTTCATTTTCTTGGAACACAAAGCCTTTGGTCAGCTGGGTTCCACCACCAATGGGGCACATAAGACTGAATTTCGATGGCTGCAGCTTGGGTAATCCAGAGTTTTTAGGTATAGGTAGAGTTTTCAGGAACAAAGCTGGAAACATCCTAGAGTTCTATTCAGGACCTCTAGGAATAGGAAATTCAACTCGGGTGGAGGTGCAGGCAGAGCACTTACAGGTTTAAGAAGAGGGTAAAAACACTAAACATGAAAGAAGTCAAAGTCGAAGGAGATTCAAAACCAATTGTTGGGTGGCTAAGTGACAAACAAGAGGTAGCCTGGAACTACAGATTTATGTAAGAGAGCTAAAAAGAATGATAGAGGAGCTACAAGTCAAAGAAATGGGTTCCATGGGCTGCTAATGGATTGCCTGATGAATTAGGAAAACAAGGGGCATCAAGTGATCAATTATGCTGGGGTCAAATTGGTTAAGGGTGGATGTACTCGTATGGAGGTTAGCCGAGGCTAACCTTCCCATATGGGTTTTCTACTTCGTTGTACTCACTATTATATTTCATTAATAAAATACAGCACTGTTACTCATTAAAAAACTAGAGGAATTTGAATGGACCAAAAGAATGGTTTAGCTGAAACAAACCTGACTATCAAAGGTGTTTAAATGCCAGATATAATTAATTTATGACCATCTAGGGTGATTGACAGTTTTCAGTACCTAGTTGCTAATGATGATGTCAAATAAGAGATGATTTCGTCAATCTTTGGACCTTGAAGTGATCTATTCAGATTTCAGATATAGGTTCCAACATAGGCTGCAAGTCGTAATGGGTAGGATGTCAAACATACGTTATATGCTGTATAAGACAGGTGGTATAAGCAGGAAGTAAGACAGTAAAGGTAGTATTCTCCCACCATAAATCAATTCCGAATTAATATGATTACCATTGACCAGTGAGCATCTAACGAAGACCGAGTTTTGATGATACCTTTCAAATGCCTATTTGTTCTGTCTTTTTTTATTTTCATATAATAAATCACAGATTTTCTCAATGAAATAAGGAAGGTGAAAGATATCAAAATAGAAAAGTACACCAAAATCAGAAGCAGTGTGTCAAGACTCGGCAATCCAGATTGGAGATCGCCAAATCTGGATTGAGATGGACCAAGACCTGGTAGGATTGGCCCCTGGAAAGATGGCTCATGGCCAGGTAGTTGGTCAGTAAATCCCTCCCATTTACTCTGAAAACTTGGCAACTAATTGGGTGGATGATGCAAAAACATGGCTGAAACTAAGATAGCTTAAAAAGATATAAAAGGTTTTTTCAACCAATGTTTTAGGGTTTCTGACAACTCATTCATGCCTACCCATTAAAGCAATGAGGGACAAATGGGTTTGTTTCAGTACCACCTCAATTTATTTTTGTTTATCTCCATGTGAACAATAAATAGGGAATCCCTCTCCCTCTCTCTCTCTCTCTCTCTCCTGCTGCAAATACATAGAAGTGTGTAATCATCTTCTTTGACAAGTCAAGCTTTATCAATGGCTGGAAGTAATAATATCTAAAATTTGTGTATAAAAAGGGGCTTATGGTTGAAGATTTTGTTTATTATTACACAAGGAAATGTATTATGGGAATGGGATTTGTTAATCATAGATGATAGGATCTCACCTTCCTAACAATAATAACACACTTAGTGGATGCACTTTATTCATCTATGATTCTGGACTGCCATGTGGGGGGACATCTTATTGATATTCCATTTCCCAAATTCCTCATTGATTCAGCATTTCTAGTTATGTGGCATAGCCATCACTATTAAGAAAGGCTCTTTCAATGCTTCATTTCACTAAAGAAAGGTGTTAATTTTGGTTGTTAGGATTTCCTAGAGATAATTTTTCAAGTAGGGATTTAGTCAATCAATTGGTGTACCATGGTTGGTGCACATTGAAATTAAATACTTATTTTCATAAATTGCATACCAGTGGAAATTCTTTTATAAAATTCTTCTGACAGTTTAATAATGAAGCTGTTAATTTTTTTTTCTTGTTTTTTCATATGGTCACAGTTCTTAAGCCGAATGCAACTTTTCCGGACAAGTCACCAACTTCAAGCTCTCCTCTGTTTGATCAGCCATCCACTGATGTATCTACCTCAGGGTAAGTCTTAGTATATTAACAAAATAAGCACCTCAGGTTGAGAACTGTTACATGCAATGTTTGGAGCTTAGCCACTTTGAAACCTGTTTCTCCATTTTCATGTGTTACTGACATTCCATTTCTCAAACCTAGATGAAAAACAGTAGCAGGTTGTGTTAAAACTCTTGTGTTTTTCTTCTGAAAACAGTTGCTCAGAGATGCATTAAATAAACTGAAGAATCATTAGATTCAGTATTAATTAAACACTCGTAGTTTAACTACTATGAGTGTTTTCTTCCCCAAAGGGAACCAAATTTTAAGCTTCTTTGTATTCAACCATTAATTAAACACTTAAAGTTTATTGTGCTTTTAATTTGTATTTTTCAAGATGCATTAAATAAACTGAAGAATCATTAGATTCAGTATTAATTAAACACTCGTAGTTTAACTACTATGAGTGTTTTCTTCCCCAAAGGGAACCAAATTTTAAGCTTCTTTGTATTCAACCATTAATTAAACACTTAAAGTTTATTGTGCTTTTAATTTGTATTTTTCAAACTTCAATTTTCACCTGTCTTCCTGTTATTGCACTTTATTTTTTGGTCATACATTATTCCATATTTCCCTGATAAAAACGTCTCATTTCAGGACTTCGCTAAGGGTTTCTGCACTTAGGCAGCTTTCCAACAACTTTGCTCAACTGAATGGAGCTCAATCTCCACTACGTTCAAGGAAGCCACTGACAAGAAAGGTGCACATATAGAGTTGGTTAATGCTGTTTCTGGACAATATATATTCTTATATAGTGGTATAAGGACTGGAGTTTTTATATTTTGTCAGGATGCTGCAGTTATAAATCAATGGAGGTTCTCCAAGCTGCAAGAGTACAAAGATAGAAATATTGAAACTGAAAATGAAGCTTTTGATCGATATATGCGGAATGTTAGTTTACTAGAGGAAGTATTTCTTGTAAATTCTTCACTTGAAGGGCCCACAACAGATATGTTATCTCTACCAGATACCTCCACTTCTGATGAAGGCAATGCTAGAAGAGCAGCAATATTGGGGTCGAAAGTGAAACAAAGATCAAACCCAGTGAGAACTGATGGCATCAGAGAGAGAATCCAAGAGCTTGTTGATCAGGGATTGAAGAATTTGCAGAATTGGGAGCTAGATGATGAGGGAGGCCCTGCCAGTGCTGATGACCTTAATAGCCAGGAGCCTAAAAGGCCAAAGAAAATAAAGAACTGGCGTGCTGAGAAGCTATCTGCAGTAAGTGACATTATTGAAAAATTGAACAAAGCTCGAAATGAGGATGATCTGAAATCCTGCTTGGAGTTGAAGTCCCAGTTGTTTAATCAGCATGATAAGGCTAGTCTTTCCCAAAGTGAGGATGTTGAGACATCAAAGGAGAAGGCTGCTGAAGATGTTTCTACAACCAAAACAGAATCAGATTATTCTCTACCTAGATTATTTTACAAAGTTGAAGTTAATGAAGAAGCTTTCAATAGCATGGAAGCACATTTTTCTTCTATTGATCAGATAGAAGATCTTTGATATTGAGAATGGATCTGGGTTAACACTTCGGGAGTTCAACAGAGAGGATCTGGCTCTATACCAGAGATCTGATAGGTGTGGACAAGCTTTAGACATGGACAAGTGAGCTTTGGTTAGTCTAGCAGGAGGATCAAAGATTTTGAATCTTTCAGAAGCAATGGGCCATGTCCTATCATTGTACAATGATGTTGTGAACTAAATTGTTTGGTGGGAATCTCAGGTGCAATAAAATTGTACCCGTTTGGGGTTCCTCATATTCTAGATGCCAATTTCACAAAGATGAATCGTTAATCTAGCGAGTAGGCATCCAAGTTTTAGGCAATACTTGGTCCTGTTGTACAGGGACTATTTTCCCCCTCTTGGTAAGCATATAGACTGTGTTTGGATTAAGGTGAACTTTGATTTGAGGTGGAACTGGAATTGTCAAATCTGTGAATGTATGGTTTCTGTCATCTGGGTGTAGTTTTGCCTCTTGGCATCATGAAGCATGTAGAAAAGTGTAATTGTTGCCTTCTTTTCACATTTCCAACGGAGGAAGGGGGGAGGGAGGGGGGGGGGGGTGGATCCAAACTCAGCCTTAGATGTGCTACAACCATGTCCAAAAACTGGTTCAATTTTAGATCATTTTTTTAGTTTAAGAAAAGAAGCATTACGTTCTTGCTTGAGTTTTGATTTCCGAAAACACAAGGTGGAACGTGTGAGTTCAGTTATTTCCTTTTTCATATGATAATCGTGGATAATTTCCTGGAGACGAATCTGTTATGTTGTATGACAAATATCATTAGCCAACTCCATAATGCCCTAAATAATGGAGGGTTTTCCACTAAACATTCTCGTGAGGCCCTAAACCTCCACCAATCTGAACAGCTGTTCGACATTAATAGGCAACATAACCAAGTCCAGATCTGATACAGTGATCCGGATACCTAGAGCCTGTGACAGTTCAGTTTTCATTTTTCTTTTTTTCTTATGGATGATTTTCTTGGTTATTTTGGATTTGGGTTGGAAAACAATTAATCCTTCATGAAGTTGTAGGGTTGTAGCTGGCAGACTGATAGGATTGGTCCAGATTTTCCCCCCCATGGGCTCTTTGATTGCATAAAAAACGTATTTCAAAGCTTGATGGGAATTGGGAAATTAACAAGCAGGTTGATCATTTTTGTATTTTTGTTATTTTGTCCAGTATTGAGCTCACGAGTTCTTTATCAGGCTTTTTCCAGAACAGTGGAGTGCTTGGAATATTATTGAAGTAGAAATAAGGGATGGGCCGGATGGCTAAGTCTGAAAGCCCTTAGCTGTCAAGGACCCAAAACCCACTTATTTCTTGAAGCTTCCAAGTTTGACTTCAAAGGGCGAGCTTAAGGGGGTCAAAAAAAGCTATACCAAGGTGCAGGCCTTTAGACTATGGGCATGATGAATGTAGTCAGCAGCCCGAAAGAAACTCTCTAATAGCCTCCTATTCTATTATTTGATGTCAATCTCACATCTTCTCTTATCTTTTAAGAAACCCTTTGATGGAATATGCGGTTTTCAAGTGATATCATGCCCTCCCATCTCTCCCAGAGCTTGCTATCATTTAATATTGGTTTTCTCAGGTCAATATTTTTTTAAGGTAACTGATAGATGGTAAAGCTATCTTCCCAACAAAAGTTATTTTAGTTTAGAATGGATTTTGCTGGTGCACTCATGAAAAGGAATCCTAACTGGGTTTAAAGAGTTACACCATTATGATAAGGGAATTTCCATATTACTTCTGTTAAGTTTCTAAAGCTCCTTTAAATCATTTGCCTTGGTGGTGCCTTCAAATGTAGTGCTTTGTTGCTTTATTCGTTTCCTACTCCTAATCCTCCACCTTTCTTGGTGGTGGGTTTCTTTCCAGGCCATTCTCCTTTCAAAGGAGCTTATCTGTTCTACAATTCCATGGCTTTGGTTCTTCTGAATACAGTCTCACTTTTCAAGGAGCTTCCCTTGATCAATAACATTGTACTGAACTTTGGTATATGCTATGATTCCTTCTAATTGGTTTGGTTAACTTGTTTATTGTGTAGTGAGGACTAGACTAATTAAACAAATAAAAAATTTCTTTATTAATTTGCCAAATTGCATTAATAGTAAATGCAAATCAAGTACAAGAAACCCATCTCTCTGAGAATATGTCAGCCTATCCAGTGGATAAATACAGCGTGAATCACAACGCATTAAGCACTTACCTGCTTGTATACAAAAGATTTAAAAAAAAACCAGGTTCAATATCTTTGTCAGGCTTTGTGGCCTCTATGTAGATATTGAAGCACAACCTTCTAGGAAAGTGAAAAAAATGAAAAAGATGAATTCTAGTTTTTGAACACATACTATGTAAAAAATTCAACTAGAACGAACTAGAGTCCTATTTGATTCATTCTAGCTGAAAGATGATCAGTCATGATGTTAAGTTGTAAATAAAGTTTAACCAAACCACATTACAGTGGTGGCTCTTTATCTTCAAAAGTAGATAGATAATCATTATCAAGCCCCAATTAACAATTGAAGGAAAAAACAACTAGTATTCTAGGTAGGGAATCATGATTCATCTTCATCTTCTCTGTTTTTTTCTTCCCCTTTTCTTTGGCTTATTTCTTTATCATGTTTGCATATTCAGTCTGAGACATCAATTCTCTATTACAGTTACTATTCCCTCTGAAAAAGAAGTCTCCCCACGTGTTGGTGCACCGAAGAATCATGTTTGTCTGCAACTTTCTTTTAAGTGCTAATGGAGCAACCACGGCCAAAGGTATGCATATATGCCATTGTAATGCTATTGGTTGGTGGTCGAGGTCAGCTTGTAAAGCACTGCAAGCCTCATGGCTCCATATATTGTCAAGCACCACTGTTCCACCCATCTAGACATGGTTTGGAGATTGGACACCTAAGGTCCAACGTGATGGCTAAGCCAAGGCTCCTAATCTAGTCTTTCTTCTTCAACTTAACACTGAAGATGACCTGTCAACATGGCAAAATTGGGTTGGTTTGGGAAATTCTGGCATTACTTTTGGGAGATAGTCCAAGCAAACTAAATCAAAGCTAAATTTCAAGACTACTGCTTTACGTGGTCCCTACTTCCTACTGCTCACTAGGATTTAAAACCCCATTAACCTACAAATTTGTCTATTCTAAACCATGTCCAATCCAACTAGCGTGGATTATATATATTCCAAGCCCACGAGACTTGAGTTGATTTCTTGCTTTGTGGGCATGGAGAGAATTGAATTATCTAATTGGGTCAAGGAAGGTAGTTGAAAGCTTCATTCAGACTAGGAGAACAATCAAGACAAGAGTTTCCACTTTCCACCTTTCCAACCTCGTCAGAGTGTTGCAAGTGTTAAATTTTCTTGCTGCTGTGCTGTGGGGCTGAGGCTGGACCCACCCCAGATCACCTACTTAATGTTACTGCACAATTGAATAAATATAACACAATTGTGACTGATGATGATTTCCAGGTCTTGTAGCTTATCCGTGCTTGAATTTTTCTAACATGGGTATCATTAAATGACTATTCAAATGTGAGAGAGAGGTGGGTTAGAGAGATATTGAAGCTTTTGATACAATTTTCAATCTCTTTGAGGGGGCCCTGGCCTCACCCAAGAGATAAAGAGAAAATGTTTTGAAGGGAATCAGCTGGCTGGCAGTGGTGAAGTTGTTTGGGAAACATATAAAAAGGACTTGGGGGGCTGAGATGGCACGGCACAGAGATATGCGTATCACTCCATGAGGAACATGCAGATTTGTAAGTGGGTGTCGGTATTTTTCTTTTCTAAAGGCAATTAATATTAATACCCAAGTAGAGAAGACTCTGTGTTCAGCCACCCCAGAATAAAGTAGAGAAGATGACTCGATGTTCTCCATTCAATTAATCAAGAGAGAGAAAGAAAGAAAGAGAGGGACAGACAGAAGAGAGGTCAGACACTGAGAGCGTTTCGTGGCAAAGAGAGAAAGCAACGTGAGAATAAGCGTGACGAATAATGCCGTTGGGTTGCCGTGGGAAAGCCACTCCCAATAGAAATAGTGTTTTTAGAGAGAGAGAGAGAGAGATCTGACCTAACCCAACGAGAGAGGATATATAGTTGAGCTTCATTTCTCACTACTCCCAAACCACCATTGAAAGTAGAGAAAGAAAAGGTCACCACCCGCACTAGCTTTACAACAAAGAGAACCCACCTTTTTAATTTTGGCTTGGTGACCTCCAACTGAACTGGGGTCTAATCTACCATCATTATTCATTAAACTTGTAATCATGTAACAGAGAAGTATATGAAACAAATGGCCCACTAGCAACCTTGCCATCACTGATACACCCAGTCATGGAGTTGCATATAATAGAATTTAACCAGACCCGGTTTAGATTTCACCTTGGTCCATCCAGGTTGATCATCTTCCAATTGGGTACAAGTTGGAACCAGTTTGCTGATTCCTGTGTAGTTAGACTTGAATTGAGGTTTTAACCATGACCCAGTTTTGTCCAATTCAAACCCGATTATGGGAGGAGCAGTGGGAAAAACAAGGTGACTATGAACATTGATTGATGTGTACCATTTCTGTACTCATGCTTGTGTATTAATTAATGGGTACAGAAGGCCAGATTCACAGTACTTTGAGACTAAGTTGGTTTTTGTGTTATTAGGAGTTTAGTACTTAGAAGAAAAGAAAATATTACTAGGGTTTAGTCTCTTAGGTAGGGTATTTAATAAAATAGTATCTTTGGTCATGGAATTGAGAATGATGGGAGATGGGATTGCGTGTGAAGTCTTGAGGAACTATTATAACTTGGAGAAATGTGAGAGAGAGAGAGAGAGGGCCAAATTGGACAACCCTCTGCTCAAGGAACATGGCTTGTTCACTATTCAAAGCATGGCAGAGAAGAGAGTAGAAGCATGTGGAGAGTCTGGGAAGCTATTTAATGAAGTGCTCTCATAAAGAAAAACCCACAACTCTCAATAGGAAATAAACCAACAACCTGGCCCCTCTTTCTTCCCTCTCATGCACAGACTTTTTCGCTCTAGTTTTTTTTTTTTTCTTTTTTAATCTCTGGTTTCTTGCTAAGTTAGGTGAGGGGGGAGGGGGAGCTAGGGGGAGTTGATTTGGAATTGGGGACAAGAGAGGATTATGTGGATTAGGGAGCATGATAGCATCAAGAGACTCCAAGAGGCAAGGCAACGTGGAGGCAAAGGAAAGGAATCCTGACACCATTGCTTGGGTGTTGTACTAGGAGAGAATTCTATAACCTTCTTAATAATGTTGGTTGGGGTGGGCAAGTTATGAGGGGGAATGAATTGACCCAACTCACCATGGTTATATCATCAGGCTCCAAAAGATATCAAAAAGAAACTTCCTCTCTCTCTCTCTCACTGGATATTTATAAATCATTCTTTTCTAATTTTTCTAATCTCATTGGATCTTTCTTTTATTTGAAGTCCTT